TGTCTGTGTCCATGGGTTATTCATATGTGTATATATAAGTCCTTTGGTTAACCTCTTCCCATTCCTCCCACCTCCCTTCCCTCGGAGATCCTTCAGTCTGTTCCATGTTTCCAAGCCTCTGGTTCTATTTATTCATCAGTTTATTTTGCTCATTAGTTTCTTGTTTGTTTATTTTGATTTTTAGTTGCAATTGTTGATAGATATGTATTTATTGCCATTTTATTGTTCATATTCTTGATCTCTTCTTTTCCTCTCCCTTTTCCTTTCCCCTCCCCTCCTCCTCCTTCTCCTTCTCCTTCTCCTTCTCCTTCTCCTTCTCCTTCTCCTTCTCCTTCTCCTCCTCCTTCTCCTTCTTCAAGAAGACCCTTTAACATTTCATGTAATTCTGGTTTGGTGGTGAACTCCTTTGGCTTTTTCTTACCTGTATAGTTCTTTATCTGACCTTCAGTCCTAAATGGTAGCTATGCTGGGCAGAGTAATTTTGGTTGTGGGTGCTTGCTTTTCATCACTTTGAATATTTCTTGCCACTCCCTTCTGGCCTATAAAATTTCTATTGAGAAATCAGCTGACAGTCTTATGGGAACTCCCTTGTAGGAAACTGCTTTTCTTTTGCTGCTTTTAAGATTCACTTTTTGTCTTTAATCTTTGGCATTTTGATTATGATGTGTTTTAGTGTGGGCCTCTTTGGGTTCCTCTTATTTGAGACTTTCTGTGCTTCCTGGACTTGGGGGTCTATTTCTTTCACCATGTAAGGGAAGTTTTCTGTCATTTTTTTTTTCCAAATAGTTTTTCAATTTCAATTTCAGTTAGTGTATTCTTCATTTTTGACTGGTCTTTTTTTATTTTTTTATGTCATTAACGTTTTCACTAAGTTTCTTGAAGTTCTTTTAAGTTCCTTGAGCATCCTTATGACAATTGTTTTGAACTCTGTATCTGGTAGTTTTCTTGTTTCCATTTCATCTAGTTCTTTTTCTGGAGATTTCTTCTGTTCTTTCCTAGCTCTGGACGGTGCAAAGTCAACTACTGACCATGCTATGCCTAGAGTCACTCAGCATGAGCTACAAAATGATGGGCAGATGGCTGCTATTTATTTGGAGCTTGGAGATGCCAAGAGAAGGCAAGCTGTGAAGCAAGGAAGGCTGTTCTAGTGCCTGGCCTGCGGCCTCTTATTGAGAGGTATTTCACAGCTGGTATGGCTCAGTTGTTGGGCACTGACCTATGAACTAGGAGGTCATGGTTTGATTCCCAGTCAGGGCACATGCCCAGGTTGCAGGCTCAATCTCCAGAAGGGGGTGTGCAGGAGGCAGCCAATCAATAATTCTCTCTCATCATTGATGTTTCTCTCCCTCTTCCTTCCTCTGCAAAGGGAAAAGGGTGGAAATGATTTGTGTTCAAATTCTTGTCTGTTTGGGATACTTTATTGCATCATTGTACCCGTTGCTCATTTGGCTTCATCTTTTGAGTTAACACAGCTTCTCATTTCAGACTTGTAAACATTTTTGATTTCAAGGTTAAGTCAAAACATGCTTAAATATAGTAATAGTTAAAATGGAGATGTGTTACCAAACTAAAGGCTGGAATCTTCCATATTCTAAACACCTTTTTAGAATATATGTATTTCTTGGTGTTTGTAAATTATATAAATAATGTTAATGTCCTCATCATTCCACTTATTAAATTATATAATGTTAATGTCCTTATCATTCCATTTATTAAATTATATAAATGTTAGTGCCTTTATTGTTCCCCTTAACAACCAAATGTTAAGAAGACTATTCCAAATGGTTTCCTCTGGTGTATTGTGGGTGTGTAGGCTGCTATTTAGCTTAATTTTTCAAGTCATCTGTTCTGTCAAGTTTGCTTATGGTGAGGATAGCCAGCTGATAGTTTAGATTTAAGATACCCAAAGTGCCTGGCCAGCGTGGTTCAGTGGTTGAGCATCAACCTATGAACCAGGTGGTCATGGTTCAATTCCCGGTCAGGGCCTATGTCCAGATTGCGGGCTCGGTCCCCAGTGTGGGGAGTGCAGGCAACAGATCAATTCTCTCTCTTCATTGATGTTTCTACTTCTCTCTCCCTCTTCCTTCCTCTCTGAAATCAATAATAATAATAAAAAAAAGACAAAAAGTGGTTCATGAATTTAGGTTTACCCAAAGCATGCATTAATATTGAAGGAGGTTCAACCTAAAGGATGGGACAGAGAAGAAATACAGATGTTGGGCAAAAATTGAGTTAGCTGGGGCTGAATAACTGGGGACAGATTGATTGGTATGGATTCTGTGGCATCAGGGCTGGTAAAGGTTCTGTTATTGAGAGCTGTGGGTAATATCAAAATCCAGAGAATGAGCATAGTAGAGATTGTCATAAAGATCCAAGAGTGACAGGAATACCTGCAACTTTATAAAAAATAATGCATCTTCATTCTCCACATGCTTTTTAAGAGGATGCTAAAATATTTTTGCAAATACACAGTAATTGAGTAAACTTAAAAAAAAATTCTTTATTAAGGTATCACATATTTGTCCTCATCCCCCCATTCCCATTCCAAACCCCTCCCCACACATGTTGTCCCTCTGTTGTCTGTGACCACTGGTTAGGCTTATATGCATGCATACAAGTCCTTTGGTTGACCTCTTCCCCTTATCCCCACCCTCCTATACCTTCCCTTTGAGGTCTGATAGTCTGATCGATGCTTCCCTGTTTCTGGGTCTATTTTTGTTCATCAGTTTAGGTTGTTCATCATTTTCCCTAGATGAGTGAGATCATGCGATACTGGAAATACACTTATAAGAACTGGAAATGAGACAAGCAATAATGGTTATGCTGAGAGGCAAATGAATCAGTCTGTAGTGAGTTTCTTTCTGTGCCAAGTTTTTTTGAGTCCCAATTTCAATGTCAAACAGTTCCTTATGTGTACATGTCAGCAATGATATTTCAGTGCTGGATGGTGGACAAATGGTGGTAATGCAGGTCTGACCCTCTCTGGCTTGGTCCTAGGTAACCTGCAGCTACGCATAGCTGCTGACTGCTAGTATAGCAAGGTGGCGGCATCAGTGTCTCTTTATGGTATTTTATAAAACCCATTTCTTTCCAGAAGTTCAATATTAGTTACTGCAATGTTTAATGCTACATCATATAAGTGGTTTTCTAAAATTCATCATGGGTATGTGTATGATTTTGAATTATGTTCATAAATTCTTTGACCCTCTTCCTTTCAAAAGGTGAAGCCTAATTTGTCACCGTGATGTGGCTAGACTTTGTGTGCCACCCTAGTTAATAGAATAAAGCAGAAGCAATGGTTTAGTCAGAAAAATTCGTGACTTCCTCCTACTCCCTCTCTCTGATTGCTTGGTCTGAGGGAAACCAGCTACCAATTCATGAGAAAAGACCTACATGTCTAACTGCTATTTCCATTTTCTCACGCCTTGAGCAAATTTGAATGCTGTGCCCAGTGGTCCAAGGATTTCCCTTTATCAGCTTGTATTCTTGCTTTTTTTTTAAATTATTATTATTAGAAACTTCCTTGTATAATAAAGCACAGAAAATAAATTTGAAACAAGAAATCTTTCTCTAATAAGGAATCACTCTGGTGTATGAACTATTAATAGGAACCAGTGGTTTGTCCTGGAGGCAACGCTACTTTTTCTGTTAAATATTTTGTGTTTCCTCTTCTGCAGATTTCACACATTGCACAAATATTTGTGGTGTGCCTCCCAAATGCCAGGTACAACGGTGCACTACAGGATGACTCATGCTGCAGTCTCAACTTCCTGATTTCACGAACATGGTATTTTCCTCTATTACCATGTTGGTACTTTCCTTCTAGTGACATTATTAACATGTTATATGCATATCATGGATATAAAAATCACTGGGTTGATAGGATAGTTAGCATTGACTTGATCTGTCATCCTTGGCTTTTCATTTACTGTTGCTCCAGCTCACACTTAATACAGGAACAGATGGATGAAAGTGAGTTTTGGAAACGTAAATCTATGGGAGTTGGATATTCTGTCCTAGAATGGTGGCAGGAGGGAAGGTAGAGTTCACATATGTGCAGTACTAGGAAAACAAGAAATAGAAGTGATCCCTATAAAGGGGACTAAATAACTAATCATCCAAACCAGAACATTTTTGAGGGTGAAGGGGCACCATTATCATTATGTTGGGGCTGTTCTTGGGAATCCAGATTAGACCTACCGTAATTTAAGAAGAGAGACAGAGCAAGCACAGCACAGCTATATCCCGCCGCCCCCCGCTCCCCACCCCCTCCCCTGCAGCCTCTCAGGGACTCTTCCATTTGCTCCAATGCCAAGGAAATCAGAACTCTCAGACCCATGTTGGATGTGGCAGACATCCCAGGACAATTCACAACTCCCCTTCCAGTTGACGATTATCTGTCTGGGACCATTTCAACTGGCAGTGGGAGGTCCTCTACGAAGCTAAAAGCTAAAAAGACACAGTTACTGGGATGGAGAACCTTGCCACCTGTTTGCCAAGTGTGTAACCCATTCGGCTAAGACGGACTGGGTGCCCATTACCTTACTTGTATTGCATGTAATGCCCCGTGCGGCTGCTCTTTCTGTTTCATCTTTCATGAGAAGAAACAGGCTCTGAGAGCTAAGGGACTCCACCAAGGGGACAACTGAACTGGGGCTATCTTAGGGGCACGTGGTGGGTGCGCCCTGAGACTGGGGGGAGGGGGGGCATGGTAGAGCCTTTCCTATCCAGTTGCCTTGGCCTAACTTCCCTTCGCCAAAGTGCTCAAGCAGGGATGGAGAAGCATCGGAGGGAGCACAACCCTGCAAGGCCGGAGCCCGACTCTGCAAGGGCGCGAGCATAAAAGGCAGCTCAGCTCTCCCGCCATCGTACGGCGGCCGCGAAGGCGGCGGTTGCCCTCATCCAAGATGGCGGTGTGGGCGTCAGTGGCCTCCTGCCCTTTCCCATCATGACGGCGGCCGGACCCGCCTCCCCAGCGCCGGCGTCTTGTGACCCACACAATGGCTGAGCGGCTGCTGCAGGCTTCCCGGCAACGCCGAGCCAAAGGCATGACAGCCGCCGCGGGTTCGGCGAGCCGGGCCGCCCTGCCCCTGCTGCTCGGCGCCCTCCTGGCGTTCGGCCGCGCGTACGTGCTCGACGACTCCGACGGGCTGGGCCGGGAGTTCGATGGCATCGGCGCGATCAGCGGCGGCGGGGTGAGTGGCCGGCGAGCGGGTGGCTGCGTGGGTGGCGGTGCGTGAGGTCGGGGATGGGAGGGGGCGCCGGGTCCCGCCTCCCCACAAGCCCCCGCGGCGCCCCACAAGCCCCCGCGGCGCCGTCCTGCCTTTGGATGCTCTGCGGAGCGGGAGACCCTGCTGCGGTGCTGGGAGCCGCGCTAGCTGGTCTAGAATGAGCCTATAGAGGCAGTTAGGTGTAATGGATGGGCATCCAGGTCCACCGAGCAAGTGTGACAGGTGTAGGTAGTGCCAGGGTTGGGACTCGAACCCTCCCCGTGGGCACCAGCCTGGCGCTCCGGGAGGACTGCCCCTGCAGAAAGGCTGGGAGCCGCGGCCTCTGTCTGGGGTGGTGGGTCGTGAGGCCTAAGCGCTGGGCGACTGGATTCTTTCAGAGGGGCCAGTGCCCAGCAGGTGTTTTTATTTCATTTTGAATTACTTTTCTAGTACAGTTCGCATTAAACATTGTTTTGTGTTAGTTTCAGGGGCATGGCACAGCGGGTAGACCTTCATATGGGTTACAAAGTGTTCCTTCTGATAATTGAAGCGCCTACCCCGCACCTTAGTTATTACAGTAGTGTCGGCTGTATTCCCTATGCCTGACCTTGCATTCCGTACCTGTTTTAAAATTACCAATCGGTACTTATTAACCCCATCACCTTTTTTTCATCACCAGCTCTGCAACACCCTTCCCCTCTGGCAACCATCAATCTATCTCTGAGTCCAAAAAGGTTTTTTTTGGAGGCAAGACAGCTGCCTCAAGGCCTCTTTCATAAGTTAGGAGGCCTGAAACTATCTGGGGGATTTTATTTTTTTAATTTTTTTAAATGGGAGCAAAGATGGGGGCTGGGGTAGGATAGAGGGCATCTGTAATGTCAACAATAAAAGTCCAATATCATTTAACAAGTTAAATAAAATGGCAGGCTATGCTAGTATCAACAGATAGTCTAGGATTGCTTATTGTTGGGGGGCTGTGTTGCCCACAGATGGTCAAGGCCCACAGAGGTGAGTTGCCCACTAGAAGGGTCAGTGCCTCTGGACCTCATTTTTGTATGTGAGGAGAGGGAAACATTGGGTCAACAGCCAAGACAATGGCTGGCCATCCTTGGGGTGCATAGTATCACCTGGTGCTTGTTGAACTGCAGATGCTGGCCTCTCCCACCCTGTTCTGACTGTAGTTTGGAATAGGGCTAAGAATCTGCATTTCAACAACACACCAGTTTATTCTCATGCTAAGTGTTGTTTTTTTTTTTTTTAATATATTATTTATTTCAGATAGGAATGTAGAGGGAGAGAGAGATAGAAACATAAATGATGAAAGAGAATCATTGATAGGCTGCCTCCTGCACGGCCCCTACTGGGGATGGAGGCCCCTACTGGGGATGGAGGCCACAACCCGGGTATGTGCCCTTGGCTGGAATTGAACCTGAGACCTATATCCACTGAGTCAAACTAGCTAGGCCTCATGCTAAGAAATGAATATTGAGAGACTTCCTTTTTTCCCTCCCTCCCTCCCTCCCTCCCTCCCTCCCTCCCTCCCTCCCTCCCTCCCTCCCTCCCTCCCTCCCTCCTTTCTTTTCTCCCTCCCTCCCTCCCTTTCTTCCCTCCCTCCCTCTCTTACTCCCTCCCTCCCTTCCTTTCCTCCCTCCCTTCCTTCCCTTCCTCCCTCTCTTACTCCCTCTCTCCCTCATTCCCTCCCTCCCTCCCTCTCTTCTCCCTCCCTCCCTCCTTCCTCCCTTCCTCCTTCCCTTTTTTCTTTCTTTAGATTCAAGGATCTCCAGAGTAGGGTATGGATTTAAAAAACAAACAAAAAACTTAAAAATATATATTTTATTGATTTTTCACAGAGAGGAAGGGAGAGGGATAGAGAGTTAGAAACATTGATCAACTGCCTCCTGCATACCCCCAACCGGAGATGTGCCCACAACCAATGTACATGCCCTTGACTAGAATCAAACCCGGGACCGTTGAGTCCACAGACTGAAGCTCTATCCACTGAGCCAAATCGGTTTCAGCAACAAAAAAACTTTTAGAAATAGTTTTAGGTAGGCAGAAAAGTTGCCAAGACAATACAGAATTTTCATAAACTTTGCAGCTGTCTCTCCTGTTATCAGCATCCCACATTAGTATGGTTCATTTATTGCAACCCATAGTAATGAAAGTCCATATTTCCCTTCATGTTTCCGTAGTTGTTACCTAATGTTCTTTTTTCCTCTTCCGGGATCCTATTCAGGATGCCAGTTGCATTTAATGGCATATCTCCTTAGTCCTCTTTTGGCTGGTACAGTTGGCATGAGTTGTCATTATCTGGGCATGCCGGAAGATTTATGTGAGGGAGACTTGAGGGCCACTCCAGCCTTGTGCAGAATTGTGTGGCCACAGCCGATAATTTCCTTCAACTCCCTGATCATGCTCTCAGGTGACCTCCAGATGTGGGAATTTGCTTCAGTAGCATCTTTGTTCTTGGCTCCAGACCAAATGTACTTGATTTTGTCCCATGTTCTTTGTAACCTTTGTCTCGTCTTGATTGGATCCTTGGTAAGCTTGAGTCTGTGGGGTTTATGGTGGTGGACCTTCGGGGAGTGGGATTTTCTTTTGTGTAACCCAGATCACAGCTGAAGCCAATTTTATTTGAAAAACGTTAAGGCTGAGTTCTTGTATGGATTGCTTGTCAGGTTGAATCAGATGGCACTTGCACCCTCAAATGCAATTCAGGACTTGCCTTGAATGCTTGCTTGCTGAGTGGATGTTCTATGTTTCACCTGACCATAACCAGCGTTGTGGCTGGACTGGTTCTTATGATTGCAATGCACTCACACGTCCTGGAAAGCACAGGGTGATTGCTCCACGTCTCATCGAATACCTGGGACCACACAGAGAGCTGGCAGGTGAGGAAGAGAGAGCAGGGGTGTGGGCATGGGGTGTCTGCTTTTGTTAGGGTGGAAGGTGGGAACCTAGGGTTTTGCAGACTCACTCTAATGGTGAATTTAAACTTAAAAGTCCCATCCCAACCTGGCTCTTGATCTAGTTGTGTGGCTGGCAATGTGCTTATTTGAGACATTCATCTTTAAAATGAATGCCTCCGAAATCAAAGCTTAAGCCAGGCTTTTGCATCACCAAAAACAAGGGCTCAACTAGATAATCCAACGTTGCTGCTGAGGCATCAGCGTCCATGCTGAGGACATTAACTGCCTGGGTAGCTTGATATGCTGAAAGTCAGAGGTAGGGCATGTTGTAACCCAGAAAGTACATGTCTCAATAGGGTATAGCAGCACTCCTATAATAATTACATAGGCGGTAGTGTGAAATCCAGAACATGGCCATTGTCCCAAGCTGAAAGGGTCCTGCCATGAAACCAGGCCAGTAATCTAGAGGCCCTGGGAATCTGTTCAGTGGTTTTGATCATACTGTGAAATATTTTACCATCTGGGGCCATCTGGTGTAAGTGGGTATGGGCCTTTCCTGCGATATGGTAGATTGCTCCATATCTCACCAAACCAGTTCCTTAGTCCCGAGAGTAGGTCAGTTCAGTGTAAGGGCTGTGTCTCATTTCAGGAAGTGGCGATGCAGGTGGGCTCCCAAAGGGACGCCTGCCTGGTCTAAGTATTTGCATCCGGTTATTAAGAGGCATTTCTATGGAAACAAAAGAAAAACAGTGGTTCCTGGTTGGACCCTACTATAAACCCAGCCTGAGTCCTGAGGGTGGTTGAGATGTTTTCTAGACATCAGGCTCAAAATGTCTTCACATGGAGGAAGGGCAGGCAGTGGCAATCGGACGGATTTCCTAGTTCAAAGTTTGAACGTCTCTGGTGACGGTTCTTAATGGCCCACAAAATATAACAGGCACAACATGCAGTAGAGGTGATTTCTCTGAAGTCTACATCACGTTGTCCCACTTTAGCTTGCCTGGCTTCAGGAAAAGGGCAGTTTTAGTTGTCCGTGATTCAAGTCAGAAGGCTGGGTGAAAAGTTGGAAACATTAGTTTGAAGTGTTGTAGTCAGATATTGGAGGAAATGAGAATTCAGTAAGTACACTGGTGTACAGGTAGAAAATCTCAATGGGGAGGGTGGAGGTAAGGGGGAGAGATCAACCAAAGGACTTGTGTGCATGCATATGGGCCTAGCCAGTGGCCATGGACAACAAGGGGGTGGGGGCATATGTTGGGAGGGGTTTGGGATGGGAATGGGGGGATGAGGACAATTATGTGATACCATAATCAATAAAATTAAAAAAGGAGTACCCTAATTAAGCTAATAACAATGTATCTACCTATATAGTCTAAGTTTAAAAAATTTGGCTCTCAAAAGAAATTTTAATCGTTGTACCGTTGTACTGTTGATATTTGGCTCTGTTGACTAATGAGTTTGCCAACCACTGCCCTATGCCAACCATTTTTTTCTTGATTTTTACACTATTTCCTTTTGTTGCAAAGTCTCTCATAGGTACTGGCTCATATTTCAAGGTAACTGTGGGCTAATGGACTAATTGATTTGTTCTTTACTACTACCTTTCTCCTTATTTTGTGCTTTAAACCTAGAATAGCTAGCATATCATAAAAGGAGGACCCATATGTCCTGATATCTGTACTTTTGATATTAAATCCAGTGTTTACACTTGCTGAAAATGGAAGTCTTTGATTATGTTTAACTCATTTTAAAATTATTAAAAGGAGTGGAATTGTTTCATAACTCAGAGTGGGTAGATTTTATTTGTTTTGTTTAGATAGTGTCTCTGTGGATAGCACATTACTCATCTTAGAAGCTGATGAAATGAAAATGGTTGCAACACAAATATTTGTACACCATTCTAAACTTCTTTGTGGAGTCCTGGGTACCTAGCACAGTCTGTGGCAGTAAGTGTCTGGAATGTTTTCATTTATCTTCATATCCGATAGGGAAGGCAGTGTGGCAGTTAAGAATGTGGAGTCAGAGCAGACTGTCAGGGGTCCACTCTGGGCCCTGCTACTCACTGGATAGCCTTGGGAAGGTCATTTCACCTCTCTGTGCCTCAGTTTCTTTTCTGGGGACACAGTGATACCTACATGGGTAGGAGCATTATGGGATATATGTGAAGTGTTTAGGATGATGGCCTCAGGTACATGACTAATTTTGGTTAATATCCGACTTCATAGATTAGGGAGGAGGAAGTTATGCCAAGGACTGTGAGTGAGAAAGGTGGTCCAGTTTGGCATACAATGCCTGCCATTTATTGAGAGCTTACTATGTGCCGGCTGCTGTGCCACAGCTGCTTCCTGTGCTGGTTGGAAACAGGCTCCAGGCTTGATGATTTGTTATTGCTTAATGGGGCATTTCCACATTTGGCTATACTACTCTTAACTATTGTCTTTGGTTTAAAATGAAATGTGTTGGTGTGACATTGGTTAATAGGATCAGGTAGGATTCAAGTGTACATTTCAATGATACAAGATCTGTGTATCCACCACACAAAGTCAAATCACCTTCCTTCACCATATATTTGGCTCCTTTACCCCTTTACCCTCCTCCCCCTTAAAACTCGCACCAAGCAAACAAACAATCCGATTAAAAATTGGGCAGAGGACCTGACTGCCTATTTATTGTCTTTGACTAATGCTTTTGCATTGGGTGTGACTATGGCCTTGCAATTGTATAATGATGTAGTATTTGTTTTATGTGAGCACTTTCAATCTTAAAGATAGGAGCGCAAAGGGGACAAAATAATCCCCCAAACAACAAAAACACATAATTCTAATGGCACAATGCAGGGCAGGAAGCATCCTTTACCTTGGGTCAGAGCAAGGTTAGTGAGCATATATAGTGTTCACTCACTCACAGAGTGCCTCCTTAAATATGGAGCTTCTGCTAGTCTGTAAGCTATAATATTTGAGAACAGCGACTGTATTATTAAAAACAATTGTGTACATAATGCCTATCATTTACTGAGAGTGAACTACATCCTGTGCTAAGTCCTTTACATCTTATTTTAATTTAAGAACAGCTGAATGAATAAGATAACCACTTTACAATCATTAGCCCTTGGTCGTGTAGTTTGTGAATGTGGAATCTAGATGCAGTTAGGTTGCCTGTACCAGTGCATAAAGCATCATGAAAAAGTACTCACGATTGGATTTGCTTTATTCATACTTTTGAAACTTTATTTTATAGGCAACCTCCCGGCTTCTAATAAATTACCCAGAGCCCTATCGTTCTCAAATATTGGATTATCTCTTCAAGGTAATGAAAAAGTCATTATTTAATGGTAGCTATGATATTTTAGAAACTGCTGAAATTCACCCATAGATTTTATCACCTTCATAATTCTAGTGTTATTGTTTTTTTTTTAAATGGCAAATTACTTTTGGGATAAGTTGCTATTTATTTGATGTTTTGTTTTGTCAAAATCAAAGGCAGCGATTAGTAATTGTCTTGAAGTGGTATTTTGTCCTTAATACCATGAATCACAGATTAATACTGTTACTTTTTTCTCCAGCCAAACTTTGGTGCCTCTTTGCATATTCTAAAAGTGGAAATAGGTGGCGATGGGCAGACAACAGGTAAGAGTATCCCCTGCTCAACATTTGAATCTAAGCTTAAACTTAGAATATAAATAATACCAACATTTGTTGATATTGATTATTGCTTAGTAGATTGCTCTTTAATGTTCATTTTTTCCTCTTTTAAAAATTATATCAAATATGCATTTTTTCCCATCAAAAACAGTATTTAGACTTTAGATTGTTTATTTAGTTGAAGTATTTAGTCATGAATCCTCAGTTTTTTAAGAGCTATATTTACTTGACTAGACAGAGCATAGGGTCATTAAAAAAAAGTTTTAAAAAAGCTTTGAACATTATATAAAATGTAAAGTGTTATTAGATTTAAATAAAATAAGTGGTACAAATATAAGTAATCAGATACATAGCTCTTTTTTTTTTCTTTTCAAAACAAAATTTTTTGTAACCACCAAATCTTCAAACTTCATTGTGACTGTTTTGATGGCTTTGTGAAGTACCTACAGTCAGTTAAAAATTTATGGGCCAATAATTTCCAGGAAGAAGAAAATGGGGGGAAAAAAAGGAATTTAATTATCAATTATCTCAATTATTATATACATACATATGTATATATACAGTACACACATATATATATATATATACAGATACACACACAATTATTGTATATATTTAGGTCAAATTTCATTATAATGAACTTTAGATTTGATTGTACACTTGAGTTCCTGTTAGTGATTTAGAAGTAATTTTTGTTAACCAGGTATATCTATGTGGTATTAGTGTTTAATTTATGTTGAAAGGAATGGAGTGTGAGAATTGGCCCTTAGGAGCCCTGGGATTCACAACCAGGATTGAGAAGCTGGAAGCTCAGGAGATGTGAACTTGAAGTTGGAATTTGAAAACCCCAAAGACACCAAAAGCCCAGCAGAATGTAGTTGTAGGAATTTGCAATTTATATGAGGTAATAACACTTCTCTTAAACTCCTTATAATAGAAAGTTGTGGTTTTATTTTTGAAGATGCTTACGATGCTTAGGAAAATGACAGAAGATGAAACAATATGCTTTCATCATCCAGCCATAAGTTATAAAGGATTATTCTTATTTGCCCCATTTTAAGATTGGAGCTGGAATACTCTGTGAAACGTGCATGTGTGTCGGGGCGAGTGGCCCTAGGATGCACCATTAATGGAATTGCCTCTCTCTATTCTCTCCCACTCAGATGGCACTGAGCCCTCCCACATGCACTATGCATTGGATGAGAATTACTTCCGAGGATATGAGTGGTGGTTAATGAAGGAGGCTAAGAAGCGGAACTCTAATATCACACTCATGGGTAAGACATGGAGTTTGCCATGCTTTTGCAAAATGTTTTCCCGTAACTTTTAAAACGGCATTGTGTATGTAAAGACCCTATCAATACTGAAGTACTAATAATGTCATTAATACTACCAGCATGCAACCCATAGCAAAGCATGTGCCAGGCATGATGTTTTCTTTGCCCTTATATATTACCTCCGATCTTCATAATAATCTTGGAGTAAGACATTATTTTCCCCATCTTACAGAAGAAGCAGTAGAGGCATAGAGAGGTTATGCCACTGATTTAAGGTCAGGTAATTAGTAAATGGCAAAATTAGATACAGGAACTATTCCATTCTGTTTTGTTTTTGTTTTTTTATACTAAACTACTTTCCACAACAAAATGTCTCATCAAAATTTGTCAAAGGGCAATGCTGTTATAAGATTGTATATTACATGCAGTAGTATTTTCCAGCTCTCTGCAAAATTATGTGTTACCTGTTGTGGTGGACCCCATTTCCAAAAGGGGTGCATCCAAAAGGCTCATTGTTTGCTTTGAACCTCAGTTCAGGTGGTCATTGTACCAGGCACTGGGATAGCTAGCAATCCAGCCCCCACCTCCTGCCCCATGAAGCTTAGGTTCTAGTGGCAGGAAAATTGGATGATTCCCATGGGACTATATTCATTTCACTGTTCTCCGTAGCAGTGTCCACATTTGTGAAATATTTCAAGTACACACCGTGATGGCATACTTTCATCATCTGAAATGAACGTGATTTTTGAAGCAAGCTTGCACATTTGGACTAAGTTCAGGGAGATTAATGAGATCTATTTTAAAAACCACTTTAAACATATAAAGGAAAAATATAAGTTTTTCTAAATTAAAAAGTGGAAGGGGGAGTGAGTGCTTTGTAAATGGGCTTTTGTAAGAGATTCCAGAAATGTTTGGGGCAGTCAAAGCACCATTGACTTCAGTGGTATTTGCCATTGGGCTGCTTTCAAGGTCACTGCTCATTTACATGCAGGAAATCTGGCAGTTGAACATGTCCCAGCAGAGACACACAGTGGGCCTGTAGAATGTATGTGGCATTTCATTGTTTTAAAATGCTGTGTTATTTTAATGTCACATTTCTTACGTAAAGACACTTAGGCGTTCCTCCTGAGTTTAGAAAAATAAACATTTTGTCATTTTGATTTTGAACTTTTCAGTGGTGAACTAGATTGGTAACATATAAATAGCTAGGGCACGTAAGTGTTGAATTTATTTTAATACATCAGTAACATAGTTAAGATTTAGAATTGTAAATTCTACTCTTCCCATTTTTTTTAAACATAAAACAGCCATTGGTATATAGGAACAATGTGGATTATTTAATCTACATCATTTAACAAAGCTATATATTTCCTATTGAGTCATTGGCATTTATCAGGGCAAACTAGTTTTGCTGAATTTAATTATGTAATTTATATTTTAAGTAACCTTAGTCGTGAATGAGGCATTTGTATTGTGTAATTACCTCATAGGATTAGTTAAACATAAGCCTTTCAGAACGCTTTGATTTGACCTGAGAGAACAGAAATGGGTTACTAAACATTCCCTATAGTAGGTGTTAGGGATGTTAAGTTAAATTGTATGTTATATTTCCTTCTGTGGGTATCTTTGAGAGAGGTGTTTTTTTTTGTTGCTGTTTGCTTTTATTTGTTTTCCTTGAAAGAGCATTTGGAGTTATTGAATCTGACTCTGGGGATCAGTAAGGAATTAGTGTTCCTTTTGGTCCCCTTTGCTCTGCTTCTAATAGCGCTGGCATTGCTGTACCCACTCTCCCTCTCTGCAGGCTTGCCGTGGTCATTCCCTGGATGGCTGGGGAAACGTTTCGACTGGCCTTACGTAAACCGTCATCTAACTGCCTACTATATTGTGTCCTGGATTATGGGTGCCAAGCGTTATCATGATTTGGACATTGATTATATTGGGGTTAGTAACAGATTTATAACATGCTTACATTTATTTGTAATTTTTTAAAGCGGTACTTTGTTAACTATTTTGTCTGATGAGACTTATTTGTTTTATTGGTGTCTGATAATAACATAAATTAACTACCTGTAACCCCTTAATTCTTCTTCTTTGCCCATCCATATTCTTTCCACCTTTGAAAAATGTATTAAGAGTTTGCCTTTTCTGAAATATTTTTTAAACTACATTTTTATTGATTTCAGAGAAGAAAGGAGAGGGAGAGAGATAGAAACATCAATCATTGATTGTCTGCTTCCTGCACGCCACCTACTGGGGATTGAGCCCACAATTCGGGCATGTGCCCTCATCAGGAATCAAACCATGACCTCCTGGTTCATCAGTTGACACTCAATCACTCAGCCACACCAGATGGGCTAAAATATTTTTTTAATGTTTGTTTTTGGTACCACTCCAGCTCAAATTCTTCTTCAAAACTTTTCCTAGTTCTCTAGTTCTTATAACAATACTGTGTTTACTGTGCTGTTTAATGATTAATCTCATTTTGCTCTGTGAGTCTAATGTGGTTCTAAACCAGGGGATGGCAAACTTCCTTGAAGGACCAAAGAATAAATATTTTAGGTTTTGTGGGTCAAAGGTATTATTAAGGATAATGTAGGTAATTATATAACCACTTAAAATGGATCCATTTAAAACTATAAAAAACTATTTTTAGCTCTGGGGCTATGAAAAGACAAGTGGTGTGCCAGATTTGGCAATCTGGCCAAAATATGCCTACCCTTGTTCTGAACTGTTATTTAATAACTAGAGGCCAAGTACATGAAAACTCGTGCACTCGAGGGGGGGGGGGGTCCTCAGCCTGGTGTGTGCTCTCTTGCAGTCTGGGACCCCTCAGGGGATGTCCACAGGCTGACTTAGGTCCGCTTCCCAGGGGATCGGGCCTAAGTTGGCAGTTGGACATTCCTTTGGCAGCCCAGGACCCCTCCAGGCATGTCCCCCTGCCTGAGCCGCAGTCAGACATCCTTAGTTCTGCTGAGGAGGCGGGAGAGGCTCCCGCTACTACCACTGTGCTCACAGCCATCAGTCTGGCTTGTGGCTGAGCAGAGCTCCCCCTGTGGGAGCGCACTGACCATCAGGGGCAGCTTCTGCATTGAGCATCTGCTCCCTGGTGGTCAGTGCACATCATAGCAACCGGTTATTCCACTATAAGGGTCAATTTGCATATTATCCTCTTATTATATAGGATATAAAAATGTAACACACAATATCTTGTCTTCCCAGTAACTCTCTTGTCAGGCTGGAGGCATACCTCAGACTGCCTTGTATCCTACAGAGCCACACACACACACACACACACACACACACACACACACACACAGCATGTCTCCACACACTTTTGTTTATTAATATGCCTTCTGCCAAACTGACTTGAAAGTTTTCATGTAATCAGCAAGCGATTATTGAGCTCCTACTATGGTGCAGGTACATGTGACTATTATGTTCCAGGGATAACAGGAGTAATAAGCTCTTGGGTTCAGAGGGAGGAGGAGTCTCTGAAATAAACTGGAGTGTCACCAGAGGGATGGTATGGGACAGAGGATGAGCCCTGGGGGCCGTCAGCCAGAAGCAAAGATATAACTTGTTCTTCTTATCCTTCTCTAAGTTATAACTGAAAGTTAGTTTGTATATGAAAACTTTCTTAAATTTTACATTGTTACCCTATATTGAGACTAAATGTAGGTTTGGGTCTAATAGTATTCTGTTGTGATAAAGTCACACTTAGAAGCTCTTTTTGGTAAATAATGGGTGATTCACATCTTTTTTTAGACTCTTGATAATCCCATGATATGATGAGGAGCTTCTTTGATGAGAAACCCTTCCCTGTATCCCTGGCATAGAAAGAGTTAAAGCACCTGAATATAGGCTCATCCCCGTTACTAATGGTTTTCTCAGCCACAAAATGAAAGTCGTGGGGTTCTCTTTTAGCTCTGAATTCCCGTGCTTCCTGATCGGAAACCTAAGGGATATGTGTATGTTCCTTTCATCCTTAGTAGGAGTTTGCTTTTGTGATGTAGCACATGGCTGCACTTCTCAGTGCCAGCGTAGTTCCTGGCACACATCGCATTGTCAATATTTGTTGAAAGATTGAATGCATATACTGTTTTTGGAAATCTTTGGTATAAACCATTTTTGAAAATACCCACATTGATTTTAAGATTTTTGAAAATAGTATTTTAATTTTAAAATTATATTGTCTTAAAATATCTATAAATTCTATACAAGGGCATTCCATAATGTAAGAAAAAAATGGCTTTTCAGGTGATCTGAAAGATGATGAGAGAAATGGCATTTAATGATGATGTATATTTTCTGATATTTAAAAACTTTTAATTCAAACTTTTTGACTTTTGTTTTGCAGATTTGGAATGAGAGGTCATATGACATCAATTATATCAAGGTCTGTACATATTAAACATCTTTTAATTTTTAAATTATCAGCGAATAATTCCTTTATGGTTTTATAGAAATTAGTAGTAAAAACTATATATTTTTTTTACAACACAGCACAGTTACTTGTTTTGCTATTTGTGACACAAAATTTAAGCAAAATCTTAATATTTGTATTCCTGATGAAAGCATAAATAATTTCCTGTAAGTCCCAAATTTTACTTTATATATACTTTTTATTATTATGAGCCTGTTTTTATTCCATTGCATTCTAATTCAGCTTACCTTGGTGTGAAAAACTGCTATTGTAAACAATTTAGAATTCATTTCTGTTTCTCTCCATCTTTAGTTTATCTGTAGTAAAACATCTCAGGATATAAGAACTTAGTTTTTGATTGCTATTTTGTAGCAAGATGTTATTGGAATTGGTGTCCTGTTTGTTAAAATGCCCTTTTTAAAGGCAGATGATTACAGGTGTTCAGATTGGGAACATATGTTCCATCTACTGTGGTAAGATGGCCCCTGGAAATAGTCTGGGTTTGTTTTAATTTAAGAGTAGAAATTAATAGAATACAAATAAGCAATTTATATAAAAACGACAGGGCTATTGTTTCTTTTCTTTTTGCCATTTACATTGTATTTGAGATTGACCTTGGGTTTTCAGTGATGTGGTTTTAAGTTGTGTCTGGAAAATCCCATCTGGGGTCTGAGGGTGGTGGGCGAAAGGGACAGGCGAGTCTCGGGACCCTCTGAGCACCAGATTGGCACTGGATGTTTTGCTGACTTATTTAACACTTGGCTTGTTATTTTTAATTTTCCTGGGTGGATAAGTCCTACAGATAGGTTTTATTGCCTGTTCTCTCTGTGCATGTGAAAGACTTGTGGGCAGCAAGGGAGCATTTCTTATGGTTATTTCTAGTATGCTACTAAATCTTGAGAGCTGTAATATTTTCAGTAATGGCAGAATATTTAGGGACACAGGAAAATACTAAAAATAAAATGACAACTTAAAGCATTTACCAAATGGTATGTTTAATGCGATCCCAATTTGATTTTGTGTCTGCTTAAAAAATTCCTAAGAATGCATACCAAAACAGTAGTGGTTATTTCTGGGGAGTACTATTATGATTTTTAAAAAAATTTCCACCCTCCAACCCCAATTTTTTTTTATGGTTAAACATAATTTTGAAGGTATAGGGAAATCCCCCTAAAACATTTTAACATAGGTGTATTTTTTTTATATTTCCAAATATATCTGGGTAATAATGCTTTTATTTTTCATAGGAGTGACACGTTTCTACTGAGAAATAATATTGGCACTATGGTCCAGGATGCTGATTTTGGAAGATACTTTAGCTACCTTGGTGGTAATGCAAGAGCTTCAGTCTCTTTTGTAACCTTTCCTATGTCCTGTTTATCCTCCATAAGGTTTTAAGAAAAATGCTGAACTATCAAGGTCTCGAGCGAGTGAAAATCATAGCGAGTGACAACCTCTGGGAGCCCATTTCTGCTTCTATGCTGCACGACCAGGAGCTCATGGAAGTGATTGATGTTATAGGGTAAGAAATGTCTTACTTTGATGTACACAAATGTAGGCAGAATAATATAATGAATATCCATGTTCCTATTGGTATTCAGCCTCCATAAGTATGAACCCATGGCCATATCATACTGTGAAATGATAGACATTTTGTCTGATTACATACATTTAAACAATTATATTTCTAAAGAACCTTTACATTTTGTTGAATTAGCAGTGGTTCTGGATATTCGAAGAGACCCAGATATCATATTAGTTCTGCCCTTCTTTGCTCAGATCATTTAATATGAGCAGGTTTTAAATGTAATGTAACAATTCTATTGTTTTCTGAATGAGGGATATAACACCTGTTTCTATAATTTTAAAGGAGATACTTTCTCAGATTATAAAAATAATGCTTTTTATATATATAGACTGGAGGCCCAATGCACAAAATTCGTACACAGGAGTTGGCCCTCGCAGCTGTGGTGGCTACCTCGGGCCCTTGCAGCCCCTGCTTGTCTGGAAGGTCATTTGGAAGGTTATTTGGCTGTCCAGTCTAATTAGCATATTACACTTTTATTATCTATATCATAAAAGGCCTGTGGGAGTGACACCATAATGGCGTCATGACCAAAAGAGCAGTGGCTCTCGTGGCAGGCAGGGCGGGGTACTGGCAGTGTCCATGGAGCATACGATGTGTCCCAGGTTAGTGGACATGACCCTGATGGCAGGCTAGGCCTAGGGGATTCTACATGTGCATGATTTAATCATATGCTGGACCTCTAGTTATAGATAATACTTTTTCCTAATGAAGTTTCAGATTGAAAATGTGCCCTAATCCATCTTTATTAGGTATAATGAATTCCCTAAAAGGACTTTCTCTTAAAAGATTCATAACTTAAATGGTAATAAATAACTACAAACTAAAACACAACTTCAGTCATTCTTTTAATGTAATGGATTCTGCTACATAAAACTACAAAGAGATAATCCAATCTTTATTATCTGCTTTTGTTATTATATTTTTTGTAAGCAATTGTTGGCCTAAAAAAGTATACAATTATGCCCCTAAAGTTATTTAGCTCATACGCTCTCTTATTATTGTATTAACTGTCAGTCTGATTTCTATTTTACATTTGAAATTTCTTAGTTGTTTTTAGTCAGTAATCACTAGTTTCCACCGTCATCATTATGACAATAGTTTACTCTTGGAATAATGAATATACATTTATACTTCAACTGACTGATTCCTATGAAATATTAGAATGGGGAAAAGGTTCATTACTCTTGGGCAGGGTTGCTCAGCCTCTACATGTTTGATATTTTCTTTCTTTTTTAAAAAAATATATTTTATTGATTTTTCACAGAGAGGAAGGGAGAGGAATAGAGAGCTAGAAACGTTGATGAGAGAGAAACATCGACCAGCTGCCTCCTGCACAGCCCCTACTGGGGGTGTGCCCGCAACCAATGTACATGCCCGTGACTGGAATTGAACCTGGAACCCCTCAGTCCACAGTCCGACGCTCTATCCACTGAGCCAAACCGGTTTTGGCTACATGTTTGATATTTTCATTGGGTGATTCCTTGTGGTGGGGCTGTGCCTTCTAGGATGTTTAGCAGCATTTTGGCCTCTACTCCCCAGATACCTGTAGCAAACCCTGCCTGCTGTGCCAGGCAAAAGCCGGGTTGAGGACCACCACTGCTCTGGGGTTATAAACATTCAAGGAACTCTGTGCAGGTTTTTATTGTTTTTCTGTCTGTGTCTGGGAGTAAATGCCAAGTTGTCTTTCTCTGTCTGCTAGGAATGGGAACAAGGGAGGAAATACTACTTTATATAATAGATTCAGCAGTCTTTTATTTTTGGCTTCCTTCTTACTCCTTCCTTTCCAGTGTCCCAAACTCTGTACTTCCCTGGGAAGTCTGAATCCTGTCTCCACCTCATTTATCTCTTGGAGTGTCCTAGACCAGTGGTGGGCAAACTGAGGCTCGCGAGCCACATGTGGCTCTTTGGTCCCTTGAGTGTGGGCTCTTCCACAAAATACTACGTGCGGGCATGCACATACAGTGCAATTGAAACAGTGCAGAAGTTGGTTTTCGGCCTGGGCAAGTCTATTTTGAAGAAGTGGCATTAGAACACTCAAGGGGCCAAAGAGCCGCATGTGGCTTGCGAGCTGCAGTTTGCCGACCACCGTTCTAGACTCTGGCCTCCTCTGCTACCTCCACCTAGCAACATGCTTTCATACATGTTATGGTTTCCAGAAACAGAAATGTCTCACTCATTAATCAAGACTCAACAGAACCTTGGTGGAACCTCATTTTTGATCTTCCTTCCCATTTTGTGTGTGGTTATAGATTTATCTTATCCTAAGGACATCTCGAGACACAAGGATGAGAAGCAGATATTGCTGACAATCAGCATCCACCTGGAAGCTGCCTGTTGTTGTAAAATAGAACATGCTGAAGAAGGCATGTGTTTTTATTTGCGTAACGAATGGATATAAGTGCCAGTGACCCTTTCCCATCCCCTCCCACCCTTTCTTTCCTAGAGCTCATTATCCTGGGACCTACACAGTCAAGGATGCACGGTTGACTAAGAAGAAGCTTTGGTCTTCTGAAGATTTTAGCACTTCGAACAATGCCATGGGCGCCGGCTGCTGGGGTCGCATATTGAATCAGAATTATGTCAATGGCTACATGACTTCGTAAGTTATAAAGAATTTTAAAAGTTTTTTTTTTCCTTGAAAATGTCCTAACACACAAGTAGAAAAATGTACGATGGGCTTCCATAGTCTCACAACCTAGATTCGATGATTGTAAACATTTTGCCTTATTAGCTTCGTCTATACCTATGTCTGTACTTAAGCTACATCCACTTACTTTTCTGTATTTGATTATAGTCTTTATTGAATTAAGTCAGGCTTATTGAGATATAATTTATATAAAGTAAAATTCATGCATTTCTATGATTTTTAACAATATGTGTATTGTTACACACACACACACATGTATATATATATATATATATATATATATATATATATATATATATTTTTTTTTTTTTTTTAAAGAATGATTGTAAAGTAAAATTACAAATGTCATGGTACTTTATAAACATTTTATCGTGGCTATAGAAAAAGGACCTTTTCCTACATGATCACAATATCATTTTGATACATAAAGCATAAGAACATTTAAAAAAGTATTTCTAATACCCAGTCTATATCCAGATTTTTCTAATTCTCAAAAAGTGTCGTTTATAGCTTTTTTAAAACGTTAAGAGCCAATCAAGCACCATGCATTGCACTTAGAAAGCCCTAAAATCTCTTTTAATCTAGAATTGTTTTCTTCCTTCCTCTTTTCTTATGTCAAGACTAGGCTTGTGGACTATCCACCTCCCAGTCTGCGCCATTCATTCCGTATAGATTCATTAATTTGTGTAACTGTCTGTTTACAAAACAGAGGTTCCAAAGAGAACCCTCTTTTTTATTTTGGGGGGAAGCATTTCTTAAATGCTTTGAGAAGCTTTAATTGTAATTAGGTTCAAATTAACTTTCTAAAACAAAAATAAATAGAGCAAAAGCAAGCCAATACATGCTTTTGTGATGTTAATAAGAGCTGACATTCTGACAGCCTTCTTTGTTCTTTTTCTTCTATTTTTGAAAGAAAAGATGCTTCTCATGGAGAATTTGGTTCTAAGGACTTAAGTTGCTATTAGGAGTCAGGCATGCTCAAGGCAGAGAATTGAGTGACTGCATATAAATACAAAGTAGGAAACAAAAATCACTCATCTTTTTGCCATCCAGAGGTAACTGTTCTTAAAAATTTTGGAATGTGTCTTCCCATTTACATTATATATGTAAAAGCTTAATACAAAATTTTAATACATTTATACTACATAATGTTCAGGAAATAAGCTACTTTTCACTTAATAAAGCATTATGAATTTTCCTTCATATTTGACTTCAGCACTTTAAATGTTTATATATGTTCTTTTACATAAAGTGGAATCTACCAATTTGCCTTGTCTCAGGAAGCACCTGATTCTTTGGCAGCTGCCCAGATCTGCTGTACCTTAATCTCTAGGATTCTGGTGGTCTAGTCAGCGCCCCCGGGTGATTCTGATGGCATGCAGCTTTGGGAAACACTGAAGCAGAAAACATATTATACCTCATGAATATTCTCCTCTTCCTAGAAATGGAAGTTGTTTCTGTTTTCGTTAACAGCTGAGTACACACTGAAATGATTAATTGTATGTGGATGTCTTCATAGAATGCGGTGATTATTTCCTCAGGGTGTGTTCTTGGAAATGGAGTCAGTGTCTGCGTCAGAGGTGTATAGATTGTCAAGACATTTGTGTATATTACAAAGTTCTCTCCAGGTAGTTTAAATTAATTTGTATTTCTGGCACTATCCAGAGGAGATACCGTGCATCTTGTAATCCACGGGTAAAGTCTTGAGAGCTCTTAACATTTTCACTGGTAGTAAGCACTTTTTTGAAAATCGGGACTATTATTTCTACTTTGCATTGGCAGAATTAGAAGTCTTTGACTTTCTAAGAATGTCAGTCTATCATTTTATTATAGGTGAGGACTTGCTAAGAAAAATACAATTTTGTTGGTAAGCTCACTTCCTCCCTCCCTCCCTCCCTCCCTCCCTCCCTCCCTCCCTCCCTCCCTCCCTCCCTCCCTCCCTCCCTCCCTCCTTCCTTCCTTCCTTCCTTCCTTCCTTCCTTCCTTCCTTCCTTCCTTCCTTCCTTCCTGGAACCCAGCAGTAACAAGGTTCAGAGCTTCCCTTTTGTCCTTGGATTTTCCTGATAACCACAATATTAGGGGTCAGTACCCTCTCTAAAAGAATGCACCACAATGCAGACCAGCAAACTGACCCAATTAGTACTTGTAGATGTAGATGAAGCAGAATCATAGCAGTGCTACAGCTCAGTTCTGTCCTCTTCACACATTCAATTCCCATAGCAATCACATGAGTGAGGTGTAGTTCTTATCCCCATTTTACAGATAAGGAAACTGAGGGCCAGAGAAGTTAAGTGGTGAAACCGTGATTTGAACCCAGGTAGTCAGACTGTCAGAGTTCTCAATTTTAAAACTTTGCAGTTTATAAAATTATATCATGAAACTAGGGCACTGGGAAGGCTGCTTGTCACAAGGAAAGCAAGTATGAATAAAGCCATGGTAGGGCATGGTCCATGTTCTGATTACACCATAGCTTAGTAAAACTGTACACATTGGATTAATCTAATTTTTTTTAAATTGTGTGAGTCACTATTAACAATATTTAGATACACCCAATATTGGATTTTTTAGAATTTGAAGGAAGTTAGTAAACATATATTTTCTTGCTTTGGGTGGCCATTTTTCAGTATTTAATATCTATCTATCTATCTATCTATCTATCTATCTATCTATTATCTATCTATCTATCTATCTATCTATCTATCTATAAAAGGCTAATGTGCAAAGTGTCCTCTTGGTAGTTCCACCAGGAGACCAGGAGTTCTATCGCTCGCTATGACATGTGCTGACCACCAGGGGGTGGCGAAGAATGAAGGAAGGCCCTGGTTGACAGCTGGCAGCTGTGAAGGGAGGCCCTGGCCAGCAGCCAGAAGACCCAGATTGGCCCTGCTCACTGGCCAGGCCTAGGGACCCACCTGCGCACGCATTTTGTGCACTGGGCTTCTAGTATTTATTTAAATTATGTGTACATTTTTTTACTATGTTGGATTCTAGTCATTTACATTTTCATCACAAGCTGTTTTGGTGTTTCTCTTTTATCAAACAAATCTTATAGAACAATCGCTTGGAATGTGGTGTCCAGTTACTATGAGCAGTTGCCCTATGGGCGCAGCGGGCTGATGACTGCCCAGGAGCCCTGGAGTGGGCACTACATGGTGGAAGCTCCTATTTGGATATCAGGTATGGTTCCCTACCTCTCACTCCCTCAAGTCCTCTCTAAGGGCAAAGCAGAACGTTCTTAGAGGGGGTTGTCACGGAAGGTGGAAACTCCCCCCTAATTCTCCTGGCTCTTTTAACTCCTTAAATGTTGAACTCGATTTTTTTGCATGTGGGGTCAGGCTGTAGAGTATTGCTCAGTACATTTTCAGACCAGCATTGGAGATGCCCAATAAATATATATTGTGGAAATAAACTTGTTTGAAACCATAAAGCTTAGTCTTTGTAATGCATTATTAAATTTTTAAACCTTATTTTTATAGTAATACTAGAGTGGGTTAAAAAGAGAAGAACAAAGATTGAGAGGGGATAACCTTATTTTTCTATTGGAAAAAGACAATCAGTATTCTTGAACTGACAGAGTGTGGTTCATTTATTTTCACTAGTCATTCTAAGAATCCTCCCACAATTGTACCATTTAACTGGACTAATTATTCCAAAGTTGGAACATGGAATTGGCAAGTATTTTCTTTCAAAATAAAAAAAATAGCTTGTTAGAATTAATCAGACTAAATTAGTAGACAGCTTTTTTAAAAACAACCCCATTATTACCATTTTTATCTTATTTGGCTCTTTCTATCCTTTTCTGTAGCACATACTACTCAGTTTACTCGACCAGGTTGGTATTACCTGAAGACAGTTGGCCATTTAGAGAAAGGAGGAAGCTATGTAGCTCTGACTGATGGCTTAGGTAACCTCACCATCATCATTGAAACAATGGTAATTTTTTGTTTTTTTCAAGAGGGGGTTCGGATTAAATTACTTTTTAAAAAAAATCAGCTTTTGAAGATTAAATATACAAATAGAGTCCTGTTTCACAAAATTCATGTGGGTGGGAGTGTTCCTCAGCCTTACCTGCACCCTCTTGCAATCTGTGACCCTTCGGGAGATGTTCGACTGCCAGTTTAGGCCTGATTCAGAAGTCAGACATCCCTGTCGCAATCCTGGACTGCTGGCTTCTAACCGCTCACCTGCCGCTCACCTGACCACTCTGCCTGCCTGCGTGATCACACCTAACCACTTGTCTGCCTCCTGATCACCCCTAACCACTCTCCTGTTTGCCTCATCACCCCTATCTGCTCACTTGCCTGCCTGATCACCCCTATCTGCCTCTGCCTAGGCTTTGTGTAGAATAATGTCCGGAAGGTAGTTCGGCTGTTCAGTCTAATTAGCATATTATGCTTTTATTATCTAAGATAAGCAGTATGTAGTGGAGGAAGGAACTTTTCCCTGTACCCTTTCAGGTTCAATAGCTGAGGCTCCACAAATTAAACCGACAAAAGACAGAATAGCCCGAGAAAAGAAAACGGAATTTATTTGTGCATGCAATGCACATACACGTGGGAGGAACTCAATGTGAACTATTCAACAGGTGGTTAGGATTTGAGTTTATACACCTAGCTCAGTGAGTAATGGAGAAAGGAGAAAGGGAACATTTGGGGAAATAAATGACTTTTGGGAAAGATGTGGGTTTTTAGGAGAGCTAACAGCAGATGAGAAAGTTGGGATAGTGTTTCACTAGACTTTCCATCTCCTTCAGGGCCATAAAACTCCCCTAGAGATTTGGGGTGGGTTTTATTCCCATTCCTCCGTTCTGGGGTAGATGCACCCTGAAGAGGTTTTATGGCAGCCTTATTTCCCAAAATGTGCTACTTTTAATTTCCGTTTGTTTTCCTTCATTTGTAGAGCCTCAACTATCTTCAATTTAGTGTAATCTTTATAACAAAGTGGCATATTTTATGGTTTATTGGCTTATACATGGTAAACCTTGAGAAATTATGTATGTGTTTGAGCGGGATCACAAGGTTTAACATGGATAGCCCAATAAACCATCATTACAACCAAGGTGGTGAATGTGTATCCATCACCCACCCAAGAAGATTCATGTCCTTGTATAAGTAGTACCTCTGTCCTGTTACTCCCCATACATTATGACTTCATGCTTTATATCACTGAAGAATAGTTTGCATGTTCTGAAGTTTTGTCTCAGTGGAATCATTCAGTATTTACTATTTTTTGTCTTGCTGCTTTCACTCAGAATAAAACATAAAAACATCTCAAGGATTTGTTTTCTTGATGTATTTTACTTGGAAAATATTTGCACCATAAAAAATTTAATGTGGGTGCCATAATATGAATTCAAAGTTTGGTTCAGTCAAAATGCCAGCAAGTTTTACTTTGCCTAGTGATATGCAATGGACACATAATAAAGGTTATATTAGAAAAAAGTCTTTAAAATTTTTAAATAAACTCATAGTTGTCACCTAATATGTACAATTTCTCTTACTATTGGGAAATTAAATGTTTAATATTTTTTCCTAATGACTTGTGCATAATTTGGATAATTTATGTGATTTTCTTTCTCCTCAGAGCCATAAACATTCTAAGTGTATACGGCCACTGCTTCCTTATTTCAACGTGTCACACCAAGTTGCTACCTTCTTTCTTCAGGGTTCTTTTGTAAGTAAAGATGTGGGGCTTTCATTTTGGTTTTGAGAATGTATATATTTTATCATAGTCTTTCGGTTTTTAAATGAAATCATATGTTATAGTTAGAAGACAAGATGTTGTCTTATTAGAGTCTTAAAGAAAAAATTTTTATAAAAAAGTCACTTGCTGAAACAGGTTTGGCTCAGTGGGTAGAGCGTCGGCCTGCGGACTGAAAGGTCCCAGGTTTGATTCCGGTCAAGGGCATGTACCTTGGTTGCGGGCACATCCCCAGTGGGGGGTGTGCAGAAAGCAGCTGATTGATATTTCTAACTCTCTATTCCTCTCCCTTTCTCTCTGTAAAAAAATCAATAAAATACATTTTTTTTTAAGTCCCTGGTTGCCTCCCATTTTTTTTAAATATATATTTTATTGATTTTACACAGAGAAGAGAGAGGGATAGAGAGCTAGAAATATTGATGAGAGAGAATCATCGATCAGCTGCCTCCTGCACACCCTCCACCTGGGATGTGCCCACAACCAAGGTACATGCCCTTGACTGGAATCGAACACAGGACTTTTCAGTCTGCAGGCAGACGCTCTATCCATTGAGCCACACTGGTTTCGGCTTTCACGTTCTTATGGGTAAGGAAAATTATTATAAAATAATGTTTTTTTGTTGTTGTTTACCATAAAGTTTACTAAAAGTTAAAAAAAAAAGTTTTTATGTGTGTGGATGAATGCCATGTCTTCTAGCTACTGACTGGTTTTAGTCTATCACTCCAGGAGCTGCTAGAAGAGAGAGCTCTGTGGCCTTGAAGAGCATTTAACAAAATTGACCTGCATGAAAGTCATTCTTATTAGTAGGAGCATCAGTTAGGGGACCTTTCAAGCACTGATCTATATAGTACTCTGTACATAAAAGCAAGAGAGACCAGACTCTAGCTATTTCTACCTATTGTTATATTTGAATACAGAAAATGCAGCACCCTGTCTAACTATTAATACTAATCGCATAAAGGTGGTTTTTTAATACTAGGACATTCTTTAAAAAATATTTTTAAAAATTGATTTTAGGGAGGAAGAGAGAGGGAGAAGGAGACAGAAGCAGCAATGATGAGAATGAATCATTGATCAGCTGCCTCCTGCACGCCCCCTGCTGGAAACCAAGCCTGCAACCTGGGCATGTACCCTGGCTGGGAATCAAACCGTGACCTCCTGATTCATAGGTCAAGGTTCAACCATTGAGCCACACAAGCCTGGCAATACCAGAATATTCTTAAAAAGCTTTCCACACAAGTACAGTAATGAGTATTTTTGAAGCTAAGGCACTAAAATAACTGAAATTTGCCAAAAGTTTATAGGGAAATATTTTATAGGAAATAAAATATTTGCTTGAATAATGCTTTTCTACTTTCAAAATGTTACCATTTAAATCTGAGAGGCGGGCCTTTTGGTGGATAGAAGAAAAGTGCACATGGCCACGGGTTCGCTCTTGCTGGCACCGATTTCGGAAATCCTCAGAAGGGCGACGAGCCACTCAGCTGTGCTTCCTGTGTGCTCTCTCCTCAGAGTGAAATACCAGAGCTGCAGGTGTGGTACACCAAGCTTGGGAAGTCATCGGAGAGGTTTCTCTTTAAACAACTGGATTCTCTCTGGGTAGTATTAAAACAAATTCCTATGTATTGAGCATTGCAACGGTTTAAGGAAACAAATTTGATTAATGAATTAAGAATTTTTAATTTTATAATTGACTTTATGGCTGAAGCGTAATAGAAAGTTGTCCCAACAGTTTAAAAAAAAATAAAAAATAAAATAGAGATCGTCTTCAAAGCAGTTTGTGTTTTATAGATCTGATTGTTTCTGTAGGTGTTTGGTTTGTCTTAGAGAATGATACCACCATCTTTTTCTTGGGTTGCCCCAGTCAGAAAGTTGAGTCTCATTTGAAACTGTCTTTCCTAATCTTTATGTACTCACACTTTATATACCACCAGCGATTGAGCATGGTGGATTCTACCATCCACATGCCTCTCTTACCCAGTCCTCATTCCTGCTGCTACTGCTTGATTCCATTCCTCATTATCTTGCTCCCAGATTTTGGAAATCACATCCTGTTTCCCCTGCCGCTAATCTGACTCTCTTCAGACCCCCATCACACTGCTACCAGAGTGATGTGTCTAAAATGCAGATCGGATTTTTTTCATCTCTTGCTCAAAGTGCCTCAGTGGTTTTTTTCCCTGTAAGATCACATCGCTTAGTGTAGCCCCTGACACTCCATATGACCTCAAGATGCGTGTCCTATGACACTGGCCTCGCAGATTAAAGAGCTTGCATTTTCCAGAGCATAACATGCCAGTTTAACTACTTTTGTGACTTGGCACATGCCTTTTCTTCCTCCTAGAATGTCTCACCACATGTCTTTGTCATCCTTCAAGACTCAGCTCAAGGCCACTTCCTCAGGGCCTTTCCCACCAGCCTTAGCTCTTCTTCACCTGGGAATATGTGCTTGTCCAGTTAAACACTTTCCCACCGCACTGGCCGCCTTGAGAACTGAGGCCCTACCTTCTTTAGCTTTTTATCCAAGAGCCTGCTGCAGTGTGGAGTGCATAGTGGTTTCTCAGGGAATATTTCAGAGAATGGATTGGCCTAAGCAGGTACATTATTGCCCCTAATTGACAGAAATCTGGTAATTATTTATATCCTGTGAACCCACTAGCCACTCTCAATGATTGAACATGCATTAATATTAAATCTGGAAAGAAAAAAAAGAAGTCTGTTTTATTTGTACAACAATTGCTAGAACTAGCATAATAAAATTGATTTTCCCCATAGGAAAAATAATATCACTTGGGGCTATTTCCGAGCCAGAATATGGTGTTAGATATTTTGTAGATCTGACCAACAATTTATTATTAAAGCAAAGATAGAATAGAATCCCCTTTAGTTCAAAGTAGGAAGAAAACTGCTCAAATTTCATAGAATAGGCATACATCAAGTGCTTACATTAACTGTACACTAGACTGCTTTTGGCACTCAACAGGTAAGACAGAGGAAGTGTTTTCATAGGTCACACTCTGGGCTGGGGGCACCGTGGAAATATTATCCCTTTCAGTCCTCACAGAAGCCCTAGGAAGTATGCATAGTTTTGTATCATTTTATAGATGAGGATATTGTGACTTAAAGAGATTAATTTGCTAAGATCATAAATGTGTTATAAATCTAACTTGCTAATTGAAATATATATTGAACATAGAATGAGTTGAACTTTTTTTTCTTATATACAGTAAAAAGTTTTCTGTGACTAACACCTGAGTCACCAGTGAGATTTTATGGATTTTTTTACCTTAGTAAAAAATTAGTAAAGTAATAAGCAGAATTAAATAGTAAATAAGCAGATCTCTTAGTTATGTGTTTTGAATATGTACAGGGTTGGACAAAAGTAGGCTTACAGTTGGCAATATGTGAAACAACTTATTCTTGTATTTTATTTATTAATCACTATATTATTTTCCATACACCCAACAGTAAACCCACTTTTGCCCTACCCTGAACATTAATATATATAGACATAAACACATATAAAGAGTTACATATACTATTTTTATTATAGACAATGATGTAATATTTAAAACACTCACATGTACAAGGGTGGGCAAAAATCAGTTTACAGTTGTTAGTTTGCAAAAATTTGTTCTTATATTATTATTATTAACTTTCATATTATTTTCCATATAAGTAACTGTGAGCCTACTTTTGCCTACCCCTGTACAGCTTTAAGGAACTTACAGTCTAATGGAAAATAATGCGCTAATAGAAGTAGATTTTGGGATCATCTAGTCCTCCATCCTTCGATGTGGTGAAAGTCTTTAAAAAGTGCTTTCTATGAAGAATAATCTTACAAACTCTTTAAAATAACTTATAATTTTTTTTTGGAGGGCTTTGATCTAGGCTGTACCCTTTATAAGTGGTTAGGAAGTTCTAACAGAAATGAGTTTGGCTTATCTTTGAGCCTTTGTCTTAAAAAGCCATTTTGCCCAAATAAGACAAGCCAGAGCCCTGGCCTTGACACCACGTTTTCTTTTTAGCTCCTCGACGACAGCAGCAGCTTCACAGTGGAGCTGCAAGAGGATGAGCTGTTCACACTCACCACTCTCACCACCGGCAGCAAAGGCAGCTACCCGCCGCCTCCCAAGTCCCAGCCCTTCCCACCCATCTACAAGGATGACTTCAACGTTGGTGAGTTCCTTCACTACAACCTTAGCTTGGTTCCCATTTTTATCAGGCATGGAGAGATTTTACCTGTGGAACCAGTGTGTGATGGAGCACTGTAAAAGTGCATTCACTTAGCTCCAAGTCTCATCTTTTATTAGAGGTCCGTGCACATCCCCTCAGCCCAGCCTGCACCTTCTCCAATCTGGGACCCCTTGGGACATTCCTCTCACAATCCTGGATCGCTCACTCTTAATGTCTTAATAGTTCACCTGTCTGCCTGCCTGATTGCCCCTAACGGATCCACCTCCCTGCCCCCCCCCCCCCCCCCCCCCCCCCCCCCCCCCGTCGGCCTGGTCACCCCATGCAGCCTGCTGTTTAGTTGTTTGGTCATCCCTCACTAATCCCCCTGCTGGCCTGGTCTCCCCGTGCAGCCTGCTTGTTCAGTCCTTTGGTTGTCCCTCACAAACCACTCTGCCGGCCTGGTCATAGGCAGCCATCTTGTGAGGGCGTGAGGTTTAATTTGCATATTACCTCTTTATTATATAGGATGTTACTTCAGGGTAAATCTCTATTTGAAGAGCCTTTATTTTTTCAATGCCAGCAAAAGCCTTTAGGTCATTGTTAGGATGAAAGAGTTATAACTAGTTTTTGGTGAAACTTAAGATTTGTTGCTCTGCTACTGCCCCTTGCCTAGATTTCGTGAAAGCCATTGTCCTTTGTGTAGAATTTAAGGCACATTCACATCTCTCCTCCCATAGTGTTAGTGGACTGAGTGCTTGTGGGTAGTTGCTCTATCCTTGGGTAATCCAACTCTTTGTCTACCCTCTAGTGTGCCCAGGATCTTTATGTGTGTCCTCTCCTGGTTTCCTGGGAAGATTTGTCCTGCTGCTGTTTAGAAAGCTTTTGATTATTAGGAAATTTAGGAAATCTTGCAAATGTAGGAAAACTGTTGGTAATTTAGTCATTGTATTCCTAGAGCCCTCAGTAATTGACAAGACTTGGTAACTAGTAGGTGTGTGGGCATAGCATCATGGATCTCACTGGCAGGGTCCAGTTCTCTGCTCCTAGGATCCACAGCTGGAGGGGAGAAGTAGGAAGGAAGATTGGCTTTGGGAGAGAGACCCCGATTCCTCTTGCTGCGGGCCTGCCGCTACCACCTCGGATCGGACTCCCAGACTCCTCCACCCCTGCTCAGTGGTCCCTGCCAGGGTCTCAGCTTCTTCCCAGAAAGCAGTCCCTGGTTGACAGGAGTACACGGCCATTTGCACTGTGTACTGAGTCCTCTCAATCATTAGGATAAGCCAGGCAACAGTGATCCTCCACAGCAGAGCATGGTGCTGTTTTCAAGTCCCTGCAATGGCCTCCAGTATCTTAGCGTCGGGCGCAGTCCTCTGTCTGCAGCAGTAACTAACCCTCCTTGCGTTCGGTCAGGAGGGGTCAGCATGGGACACGGCCTGTGGGCACTCCAACCGTTTATTCTGTGACCTGCAGATGGAAGGCATTCCTCACCTTTCCAATCTAAAACACACTGAAAAGGAAATTAAACACCAGAGGCCAGGCCTCAGAACTACTTAATAGGGTTCTTAATGTCTCAAATGATGTGGCAAATGTGAAAACACTTGGAAAATCAGGAAGTGAGAAATTGCCGTAAGATATTATGACTAAAATTGCTTATCTAGTGCCTTCAACATGGTAAGATTATAATTTAATAAAACTAAGAAGAGATCGATAACTTAGGCTCAACGTGGATTTTTTTTTTTTCCATTTTAGAAATAGAAAATTTGTGATTTCTAAATCCTGTGTTTGGAGCCTTTTCTAATGTCTCTCAGCTGATGACAGTGAGCAGTGACTTAGAGCTTTGTCTGACAGATATTAGAAATAACAAAACTGCCGGGACTGGTTTGGCTCAATGGATAGAGCGTTGGCTTGGGGACTGAAGGGTCCCGGGTTCGATTCCGGTCAAGGGCATGTACCTTGGTTGCGGGCACATCCCCAGTAGGGGTGTGCAAGAGGCAGCTGATTGATGACTATCTCTCATCGATGTTTCTAGCTCTCTATCTCTCTCCCTTCCTCTCTGTACAAAATCAATAAAATATATTAAAAAAAAAAAAAGAAATAACAAAACTGTCTCTTGTTGCGTCTTGGTCAGGGCTGGCTTATGCCTGCACTTTATATACATTCTTTCATGTATTTGTTCTCTGTCCTCCTCCCACTTCGAAATGAGGAAACTGGGAGACAGGGAAGTGGAGCACTTTGCCCCGGGCCAGACTAGAACTTGAACCCAGGTCTGCCTTCCTCCAGGATTCATGGTCTTTCCCCTTCAGCAGGTGCACAGGTTAAATATGTAAAGTCTGTATGTCACACCGATCTCATTGACATTAAATAATGACAGCGTAAAATCAAAATCTCATTAATCTAAATCCTAACCTCTGACTGGTTGTAAGTTTCATTTCCTTGTTTAGAACTTTTCAGCAGTGTTTTAAAATGCGCCGTAAGATCTCCGAGAGAAAATGTTCTGTGAGGATTTGATATTAAACCGAGAATTTATTATATTCTGAACAGAATACCCGTTTTTCAGTGAAGCCCCGAATTTTGCTGACCAGACGGGCGTGTTTGAATACTTTATGAATATGGAAGACCCCGGAGAGCACCGCTTCACGCTGCGCCAAGTTCTCAATCAGCGGCCCATTACGTGGGCTGCGGACGCGGCCAGCACCATCAGCATCATCGGGGATTACAAGTGGTACGTGATGCTGGCGTTCTTGACGTAGATCTGACTGCAGTAACCCTGTCGTGCCATTGAGTACATTCTGAAACAAAGACTTGTCCACCGTCCTCCTGTCCAGACACCTAATAGGTGTGTGATAGTTACTGAATATTATGGTGACCCCAAAATAACAAATTGTTTTTGCGGTGTCAGTTTCCTTCCCTCTAATTTGCTCAGTTTAGTAGTAAATATTCTAGTAACAGAAGATTTTAATATAAAAATTGAGGACTTTTGGACCAATCGTAATTTAGCATTTATTTACACAATATAATTTGAATGGCTGTTTTTGGTTTGTTTTTTGATCTGGTGGTGCCACCTGCTGGGTTTATACTAGAATTACAATATTCTAGCCTGTGACTGTAGATGGCACTAGTGAAAATTAGCTTTTAGTTGGATAGCGAATTCAATTCTTTAGGCATTTGTTAAAGAGACAAGTTGTGTTTGTTTTTCACTTAAAATATAATGACAAAACCAAAATTCCTCTTCCCCGTTAAGTCAGTTAGGGAATTCCAATGTACTGGTTATTATATCTGTTTTCGGTGTGTGTTTTTTTCTTCTATTTTTCTTTTTAGCTGGTATAATTCCACTGTGAAACCGTTCCAAGTTTAGTGATACAAGCTATTAATGCTACGCCTATCAAATAGCCTATCTGGAGTTTGGAAATCAGGGTGGGGATTGTAGTTCTGAAAAAAACCTTGAATTGTTTATCTGTGGAATGCTGCAGAAAACCTTATCCCTTCTGTATTGCCTCTTTTCTGTTAAAAATCACAATTCTAGTCCCCAGCTCTGTCAGCTATCCATAGTTTCTGAGACCCTTACAGAGGTAATACTAAACACTGGTGTTAGTCTCTGCAACCACCTATGGCAGAGGCCTCATCCTCCCAGCTTATAGATTGGGAATCGGGCTTCCGGTTGAGATTTGCCCATGATCCTACCCTGGTAAATTGCAGAACCACATAAGAGACCAGATCTCTCTGGTTCTGTAGCCCATGCTCTTTGGACCACACCTCACAGCCTCATTAGTGAGCTTTCTCTGTAGTTTTTTTTTTTTTTTTTTTTTTTTTGTGTGTGTGTGTGTGTGTGTGTGTGTGTGTGTGTGTGTGTGAATTAGCTCTCAATGTGTGCTGCCAGTTCTTAGATCTGTGTTTTCAGTAGAATTTTCTCTCTGTCATACTTAGAAGTAGTTAAATACCAGCACAGTAATTTAGGTAGACTTCCCCAGAGCAACTTATGATTTTCCATTTTCTTAGTAAGCTCTGTTTGGGATCTGAAGACAATCACAAAGTTACCTTTGCCCTGTCTGGAGTGGCTTAGTTGGTTGGGCATTGTCCTGTTGGATTCCTGGTTAGGGCACATGCCTGGTTGTGAACTCTATCCCCAGAGGGGGTGTGCAGGAGACAGCCAATCCATCTTTTACTCTCTTTCTCTCTTTTCCTCTCTCTAAAAATTAATGTAGAAAATTCTTTAGAAACACACACAAAAGAACCTCCCAAAGTTACCTTTTGGCTGCACAAATCCAAGCTCTACATCCCTTTGAGCAAATTTGCTTCATATGTGGGCTGGGTTTTGTTCTCTCAGCACCACTGAGAGACTATGGCTACGGAAGAGCGCACCGCACTGTTACTCTACGTCATTCATTATCTGTAACATTGCCTGTAAGTTCTGATGCAGGAATCACTTATTCTGCAATGGGACAGGACATAAAAGAAAGAAAAAAATTTCAATCTTCTTTCACTATAAATAAAATAATTTATGATGCAGACAGTATTTGTAGCACATTCGAACTCTAAGGAACCAGAAAAGAGGTAGGGATGTATTGATTACTATGGGAGGACATACCTGATAGACTGGCGTTACTTACTTAGCATTTAATTTCCCCCTAAAGTAGCCCAGCTCTGATTAGAGGACTAAATGTGATTTCCTTATTGTTGGATACCTGTTGTAGATGCTGCTTTTTTATATTTACATTTACATAGTAAAATTCTACTGTGCAAATGCTACTAATAAAAAAATTATGTAAAAGCCACATAATTCTAGATCCAGTTTACCCCATTTCCAATGTATTTTGGGGCATTCTTAATTTTTATTTTAGGTAGATTGCTTGCTTTTTTACTTGGCTATGGTCAGGCTTTCTTTCTTGTTTGCAGTTATATTTCAAGTGCAAGATGAATTATTTTCAGAGATCATGCTGGTTTGAGGTGGCTCGGTTGCTGCCTAAGGTATCTAGTAGCATTGACTGGAGGAGAGTCAAGTCCTAGCCCTGATGGCTCCTAGTTGGCTGAATCTACTGTCCATTATTCATCTTAGAGTCAGAGCTTTACTGCTTCTGTATAAACAGAGAAGCTCTGCAGGAGAAAAGGGTTCTCAATCTGGAATCCCCAGACCAGCAGCATCAGCATTACCTGGGAATCTGTTAGAATCCAAGGGGCCCACCCTCCACTTGCTCAGGTTAACAGGCCCTCCTGCTGGTCTCAGTGTTACTCAGGTTGAAAACCCCAACTACAGTCCACATTGAGTTGGCTCTGTCTTTGCAGAGAAATAATTTTACATCTTTTGTCTGGAGTTTTTAGGTCTTGTTAGTGTTAAGTATAAAACTTATCCCTCAAGTCATTGATGTTTTCCCAGAAGCCCCTACCATTGCTTTCACTGCTTATCTTTGCCGATGGGAATGTAATAAACAATGGTTGGGAGATTGCCTTTTATGAATTCCTAGAAAAATTGCTTCTTTTAATGTTATTTATGCTTAGGATGGATGAGACACTGTTATAGAGAGAAGAAATATAGTCTTAAGAAACTTAAAAACAGTAAATATTGTCATCCGGTAATTATTTAAAAGAGGCAATGAAATGAGTTAACTTTAGTCTTGTAAAATTTAAAATCATCATCAATGAAGACTCTCGAAGACTCTACAAGCACAGCTACAGCAGATCACGTACTCACCTCTATTAGAAGTTTGGAAGCATGTGGCTGTGCAGTGACCCATCATCCTGCTGTGCTCGGATGGCACAATGGAAAGCCTAACCAACAGTTTCCTTCTGCAGGTCCAATATGACCATCACGTGTGATGTTTACATAGAGACCCCTAGGAAGGGAGGTGTGTTCATTGCCGGAAGAGTAAATAAAGGTGGCATCTTGATTAGAAGTGCCAGAGGGATTTTCTTCTGGATTTTCGCAAATGGAACCTACAGAGTTACAGGTGATCTAGGTAAGTGTCTTATTCTATAGCATGAGAGAGAGGCAACTTGTACGAAGCTTTCTCGTATATTACAGAGTAGAGCTGGCAGTAAGGGTGGGATTTGCATAGATGGGGGTGAGGGTAGAGAGTGCTCAGGAAACATGTAAGTAAAAGCCCGGAGTGGCCACTGTGCTTGTGGAAATACAAGGAGAGGAATTGGTATGCTTAAAATAGAGTAATCCTATTTCCTAATCTAGTTAATAAATTGAAAACTGTGTGACTTTTCTCATTCATCTTAGCAGCCCTAGCCCTGCACACAAATCTGTGTGCCAGTAACTCTCTGTGGGGCCTGGCCACTCCGCACCCGCTGTCCAGAGGCTCTCCACAGCCCAGAGGCCCATCTTTGGCCAGTCACGGTACCCTTGCCTTGTCACCGTGGCAACTGGGGGACTCCAGTGGGGCTGAGAGGACTGGGTGCCACCATCTTGTGGCTATGGGCGCTGCCATCTTTGTGACAGAGTGATGGTTAATTTGCATATTACTCTTTTATTAGATAGGATAGATGCTTAGACCAGGTTCAAGTTGAACTCCATCCAGTTCCCTTTGATTTTGGATACTTCTCTGTTGAAACTAGACTTCGTGGTGGTAGCTCTGCTTGGTTCTTAGTCTCCTACTTTTTCTCTTGCATTAATAAAAAATTCTATAGTTTGCTGCTCTCCATCTCTTTCTAAGGGCTCCATAAGTAAAATAAAAATGAAACAGGAAGTGGGTAATAAGGACATGAGAGTAGAAATTGCATAAGCATAGCGTGACTGATCTAGAAGGTACCTTACATTTTCCAATCTAAGAGCCAGAGAGGTTAATTGATTTGCCCCAGGTCTCACAACGAGTTAGCGGCAGAATAGGAACTAAGAATTTAAATATGAGGCTTTAGTCCCTACTGCGCTGTGTTTTAAACTATCCCTTGGTCTCATCCTGAGTTTTTTCTCAGGCACTCAAACATAGTGTAATAACAGCCCAAATTAACTCATTATTTTCTCTCTCTGATTCTCAGTGAATGCTGTTACCATGTAATCAGTTACACCAGCTAGAAATCTTATGGTAGTCTTTTAATCCTCCTCCTGTCCTTCAGATTTAGTCCAATCAGGTAAAAGTATACCCTGGAACCATAGAAGCTAATGTGTTATATGATAGTTGGTTTGTGAGTTTATTTCTCTGGTTCTCTGGTGATTTTGCAGATAGTATGTGGTCCAGAGTAGGATCTCAATATGTGCTTGTTGAATGCATGCTCGAATGAAAGATGTTTTAAGTTATTTGTAGATCTGGCTGGAAATGTAGATGTTTATTAAGGTCAACCTTATTACATACTAAAGCCACCTGTGAGTCCCCACTGAGTTATGTGGTTCTGTGATTTAGATAACCTTTTTGTGTTGCAGCTGGATGGCTCATTTATGCTGTAGGACAAGTTGAGGTTACAGCACAAGAATGGTATACACTCACTTTAACTATTAAGGTAAGTATTGCTGATCAGCATGCCTAGAGGTAAGATGTTCTTCTCTAGTCCCTTTCTAGCATTTTCTGTGAATAGATGGGAGAGGGGGAGGGTGGTGTTGATAAATAATAGAAATAGGCAGAAAGTCTGGCATGTTATCAGCAAACCACAACTCCCTGGAATAATTTTATGTGTTGGGGTAAACCCAGAGGAGAGCCATCAGCTATTGACTATATCACCCCAATAATTGAACTGTTTTTTCAAGTTTGTTTGAATGAAGATTATAATTGGAGCTTATAGGTTTAAGCAAAGTCCCATAACTTTATTTATTTATTTATTTATTTATTTATTTATTTATTTATTTATTTAAATGTATTTTATTGATTTTACACAGAGAGGAATTGAGAGGGATAGAGAGTTAGAAACATCGATGAGAGAGAAACATCGGCCAGCTGCCTGTTGCACACCCCCAACTGGGGATGCAACCAAGGTACATGCCCTTGTCAGAATCGAACCTGGGACCTTTCAGTCCGCAGGCTGACGCTCTATCCACTGAGCCAAACCCATCCCGGCCCATAACTTTATTTTTGATGTTGAATATAATTTTTAAAATATATTTTATTGACTTTTTTACAGAGAGGAAGGAAGAGGGATAGAAAATCAGAAACATTGCTGAGAGAGAAACATCGATCAGCTGCCTCTTGCACACCCCCTACCGGGGATGTGCCCGCAACCAAGATAAATGCCTTTGACCGAAATCGAACCTGGGACCTTTCAGTCCGTAGGCTGATGCTCTATCCACTGAGCCAAACAGGTTTCGGCTATAATTTGGTTTTTGACTGTAAGCACAATATTTTCGAAGTTGGTTTCCATGAATATATTTGTCAGAGAAGATACCAGGTTCATTGCAGTAAGAATATTTGTCAGAATCACTGATTAATCATGAATTGTTGATTGACATGCTTCTAAGGGATGTTCTATGGAGAAATTCTTCTGTAAAAACATGCTTCTCTCTGCCAAGATAGTCCTGGCATAACTTTGCTCACGTTATAATAGAGATTAGAAAATGAAATTGAGAGAACTTTTTGGACTTGTTCTCTTCCCTTACCCAATCACCAAAATTACAATACTAAATTTTCAGGAAGTATCACTATGTATGGACCATCATAATTTACTTAACTATACATACTTGATGGGCATAACTTTGTTCCCAGTTCTTTTCTTGTTCGGGGAACTGAGTCAGTAAAGGATGCCTTTTTAGCAGATAGGGGGAGAAATCTTTTACATGCCTCTTAGGGTACACATGTTCTTTTATTTGTTTAGACAGATATTTAGAGGTGGAATTGCATTTTAAATTTCAACAGATACTACCCTCTTGCTAGCCAAACTGTATCAATTTTATAGCATTTATAATATTTGATATTATCAAGTTTTAAAGATTTTTTTCAAACTAATAAATATAATTTATATTTCATTGATAATTAGGGCAGTTGTACATTTTATATTTATTGGTCATTTGTATTTTATTTTTCTGAAGTTATCCATTGAATACTTTCCTGTTTTTCCTACTGTGTTGTCTTTTCCTGATGTACCTATATGAGGTTATTATATATTCTGGATAGTAACCTATTTTCTGTTATATGTGTTAAGGATATTTTCCCCTGTTTTCTTGTTCTCATGATTTGTATTTTAATTTTGCTTATGGTATATTTCATGAATAGAAATGTAAAATTTTGGTATTATCAAATATTTCATGTTTTCTTTATTTTTTTTATATTGTTTAAGAAGGTGTCCCTTTTCTTTAGGTTAGGAGATTTTCTCCTTGTGCCCAAATTAAATAAAGTTTGGGTGTGTTCTATGTTTAAGTCTTTAATCCATCTGGAATTTATTTGTGAATTATAAGGTAAAGAGCCTGATATCATCTTTTTAAGCAAATGGATAGCTATCATCATTTATTATAAAGACTGTCCTTTTGCCCATGAATTGAAGGCTGCAGTTTTTGATCTAATAAATCATCATGTGCACGTAGGCTTGTTTCTGAACATTTCTCTGTTCTTTATATTACTCTGTTTGCCTATTATCCTAAACTAGAGACCCAGTGCATGAAATTCGTGCTTGAGTAAGGTCCCTAGACCTGGCCTAGCAAGCGATTGAACTTCTAGTCGAACTCCCGAGGAAACACTTTGCATATTAGCCTTTTAATATATATATTAAAAGGCTAATATGCAAATTGGCTGAATGGTGGAACAACCGGTCACTATGATGTGCACTAACCACCAGAGGGCAGACGCTCAGTGCAGGAGCTGCACCCTGGTGGTCAGCGCACTCTCACAGGGAGAACATCGCTCAGCCAGAAGCCGGGCTCATGGTGGCAAGTGCAGTGACGGTGGTGGGAGTCTGTCCTGCCTCCATGGCAGATGGACATTCCCCGAGAGCTCCCAGACTTTGAGAGGGCGCTGAGGTACCACCTCTACCGAGTGCATGAATCTCATGCACTGGGCCTCTCCTTTTATTTATAAAAACAGGTGGCTAGCCTGTGGGCCATAGTTGGCTGACTCTTGTTCTTAAGGCAGTGAACTTGTAGATAAATCAATAAATAAAATTATGAATAACAAAATGGAATAACGAGATAAAGTAGCTTACCTGATTGGATTTTCTCAACAGAGAGGTCAGGCAAGACCTCTTAGAGTGGGCAATGTTTGATCTAAGGGTGCCACTGGGATGGCCTGTATGAGGAGCAGCTCAGCCAGGTTGGCTGATGCCTAGGGAGCAGGGCGGGGGGAGGGGGCTGCGAGGAGAGGAGGTACTGTTAGATAGGTTTTGTGCTTAATATGACTTATGTATGTGAATCCTTTGGGTCTGTGTTAATATTCACCATTCCCCAAGTGGCAGGAGATGTTTAATGAGTACTTCTAGAGCTGAGGTGGCTGTGCATGTGTGTAGTAACAGGGATGCGTGTGAACAACTAGGATTTAATTCCTAGCTCAGCTGGTAAATCTTGACTTTGGTTTTTAATCTTCAGTATGAGTGTCTCCATCTGTAAAACAAAAAAGCTAAATAGAAGTCTATTGCCTTATAGACTTAAAAACAGATTTAATTTTAGTTCTCGGCCTCATGCTTTGGATCTTTAGCTCTTCATCCTTTGAAATTAGCTAGTTTGAAATGTTTAGCTGTAATTGCACGCTGTGAATATATACTCATAAATGTACTATAATAATGATAATGAGCACCGGCTAGCATTCACTCACTGTGTGCCAGGCCCTTAGCTAAGTAGGAATGGCGGCCGCTTGAAGAGGATGTTACTTTATCTTTCTCTGTCAGTGACCAGTAAGTCATTTCTATGGAACTTCCTTTCTTACTGCCCCTGGCAGTCATCACGGATGGTGGCTAGTTTTATAACTAAGGGTGGGCTCTTCCTATGACTTTGAAGTTATATTCTGTACTCTGGGACAGAAAGGACTTATATATATGGACATTTTGGTTCCATCAGTCATGTATGCCCATGATCCATGCACCTACAACCATTTGTAAAAAACAAATGTGTTTTCTTTTATATCAGTGGGCTCTTGTCTAAGATTTTATAATGTTATGAAAAGCTTCACATCTCTGTGGGTTTTACAACATTTTGGTGGAGTCCAAAGAAATATTGTGATATTCCTTGTGCCTTGGAAACTATTTACATAGGTAGATAAGAATTTCCTCAGAGAACGTTGTTCCCATATTTCAAACTTTTGTTCCAACCCATGGAATTGTTTTCTTGCAGTTAGTCTTAAGTGAGGAGGGTGTTTGCTCCACTAAGTGGATGGGCCACAGGGTATTAAGAAACGGACTTCGGACAATCATTTTCATATGTCTTCAAGGGTCGCCTTTCTTGCCCCCAGGGTCATGTCTCCTCCGGCACGTTGAATGGCAAGCTTCTGTGGTCAGAGGTCCCAGTGAATTTCCCCAAGAATGGCTGGGCCGCGATTGGAACTCACTCCTTTGATTTTGCGCAGTTTGACAACTTTCACGTGGACGCCACACCCTGATATTCACAGAGCACTGTAGAACACTCTGGATTTTTTTTCTTTATTTTTGGTTTGGTTCAGAGCCAATTTTTTTTTGATGGATTAATATATAAGCCTTTGGAGGCTAAAAATAATGAAGAGTAAATGAGGAAGAACTATGTTTTTATTGGACCATGTGGAAGATTTTTTTTGATCCGGTTCCAAGGGGAAAAACAGGTGAATCTTTAACATTACCTGGTGTGTACCTCACTCTTCAGATGGTAGGTTGGTTCCACCCCTAGGAGGGCTTTGGGTGGTCCAGACCTTGACACTTGGTGTCAATGCTGAGAACGCCCTCGTTATCTTATTTGGAAGTGATCATGCAGGTGATAATAACTTGATTAACACAGAAATGTATTTATTAATGCTGATGTGTGTCTAAGTGAGCTGATGTCTTTGTCTTAAGTTAAAGAAAACTAGAAATGCTGCTTTTTGAAGACCACTTCAATGTGCTATTCTGAAAAGTACTTTCTATTTTCCTTTTTTATGATGATGTTTTAAATTATAGATATGATGAATGGAATGATTTGAAAATTGTCTCACTAATAAACTACCTCTAAAACCATTTCTGCAATAATAAGTAATAGATTAATTGGGTTATCTGCATTTAAAAAAATTTTTTCAGCCAAAACTAGTTTGGCTCAGTGGATAGAGCATCGGCCTGCAGACTGAAAGGTCCCAGGTTTGATTCTGATCAAGGGCATGTATCTTGGTTGCAGGCACAACCCCAGTAGGGGGTGTGCAAGAAGCAGCTGATTGATGATTCTCTCTCATTGATGTTTCTAACTCTATCTATCTCTTTTCCTCTCTGTAAAAAATGAATAAAAATATATTTAAAAAAATTCTTTCAGATCCACTTTTAGTCATATAATCTTATAACTCTCCATGATAACATTTCCCAGGTGGGCTGGAAGGAGGAAGAAAATACCCTACAGCCAATGCTGTACGTGGGTCTAAAGATGAAATTGAAGGAAATTTTCTTGAATCATTTCATGTGCTTTTCCTGGTCTGTCTTCTCATGAGTCACTGGGAAGAGATTGAAAGAGTCAATGAATGAATATTTTTATCTGCTTGTATACAGAAGGGGGACACTTAACTAATTGCTAATGCATTGAATTGGATCTAATATTTTGTGTGGTTAGATGCATTTATGTTATTATACATTTATAGTTAAGTATGGGTGAGCATATCTGTCATGCAATATAGTTTATATTTAAGAATTAGTGTATGTCCTAGAAACAACTCAGTCATTTTATGTGGATAAAGTAAATTCTGCAATTCTTTGGAAAGTTTAAAGCTTCAATGAACCGATTCTTCAATTTTGAAATTTATAATCGTTTAATATAGGCTAAACTGATATGAAATTTTGTATTACTATTAAACTCAGGAAACAAAATATTAGAATAGATCAGATTACAGAGAAAAAGTTTAAATTTAAACCATGTCTAAGTGATTTCCAGTTCAGTCCCTACATATTTTTAAAAAATTAACTTTACTTAAGTATAACTTACATACAATAAAATGTTATTATTTTAAGTATACATTTCAACGAGTCTTGATTAAAGGATACATTCATGTAATCAACACCTCAAACAAAATATCAAACATTTCCATCACTTCAGAAAGCTCCCTTGTACATCTGTGCAGTATTTCCTCTCACGCCCCATCTCAGGAACCCATTGATCTGACTTCTGCCACTACTGATAAATTTACTTTGTTCCTAAACACATTAGAAAGTGGCACCAGATGCTGTGTACTACTTTGTGAAGGATTTATTTCATTCAGCATAATGCTTTGAGATTTGATTATGTTGCTGGGTATATCAGTGTTTTGCTCCTTATTTGAAAGAAAATGCCATTGTATGGCTAGACCACAGATTGTCCTCCCAGTTTTTGGTATTACAAATGAAGCTGTTATGAGCACTTGTGGGCAAGTCTTCGTGCGGACTTGTGTTTTCATTTCTTCTGGGTAAATAACGAGTGAAATTGTTGGATCTTTTGGGAAGTGTCCTTTTAATTTTATAACAAACAGGCAAGTTGTTTTCCAAAATGATGGCATAATTTCACACTCCCAAGTGCAATGTTTGAGAGGTTCAGTTGCTCTACATTCTTGTCAGTGCTTCATATTGTTGTTCTTTATAATTTTAACCCTCTCTTGTGAGTATATAGTAGGTACATTTGATGTTGAACATATTTTCAAGGGCTTATTTGACATTCATATATTTTATTTTGTGAAATCTCAATTCAAATCTTTTTCTCACTTAAAAAAAATGAGTTGTATGTCTTATCCTATATAATAAAGAGCTAATATGCAAATGACCATCATGCTCTCACACCATCCTGCCATAACAGCTCAGACACTCAACCCTGGGGAGAGAGGAATGGGGACCAGCCAGGCACAAATGAGCTTTCGAGAGAGGAATAGGGAACAGCCAGTCACAAATAAGCTCATAAGAGAGGAATGGGGACCAGCCAGGCTGTGGCCCAGGAGAGGGACAAGCCGCCCGCCCCATAGTCCCTAGTGCCAGTGCTTGCACCTGCAGCCTGGGAGAGGGACAAGTCATCCACCCCATGGACCCGGGCACTTGTGGCTGCAGCCTGGGTGAAGCTGCCCGCCTATGGTCCCCTATGTCTGCGGTCGTCCTGGATGAAGCCAGCCTGGATCCTGGGCGCCTGCAGCTGGCCAGAGGGAGGGAATCCTGGGTCCTGGGTATAGGGTGAGACAGAGGTGGTTAAGGGCAATCAGGCTGGTAGGGGAGCAGTTAGGGGTGATCAGGCAAGCAGGCAGGTGAGTGGATAGGAGTCAATGGTCTCAGATTGTGAGAGGTAGTCAGACATCCTCTGAGAGATCCCAGATTGGAGAGGGTACAGGTTGGGCTGAGGGACACCCCCATCCTGTGCATGAATTTCATGCACCAGGCCTCTAGTCTGTGTATATAAAAGCCTAATATGCAAATTGTCACTGCAGGAGTTTGACCAGGAGACTGATGGCTTGCTATGATGTGCGCTGACCACCAGGGGGTGGTGCAGAATGAAGGAAGGCTCTGGCCAGCAATAGGCAGCCGGGGAAGGGAGGGCCCAGAGCCAGAAGGCCCTGATTGGCCCTGATTGCCAGCCGGGCCCAGTCAACCTGCCTGTGCATGAAACTCATGCACCGGGCCTCTAGTTGAGTCATAAGAGCTTTTTATATATTCTAGATGCGAGTTTCTTTTCTTTTAAAAAAATATATCAGGTATATATTTTATGAATTATTTTATTCTAAGTCCATATCTTTTTAAGAATGCAAAATTTTAATTTAAAAGTCCAATTTAGCACTTTTTACTTTTATGATAGGTGCTTTTTGTGTCCTAAGAAATCTTTGTATATCCTAAGTGTACAGGGACTTTTTTCCTTTTGATTTCTTTTAGAAGTGTTATATTTTGTAGCTTTTACATTCAGGTCTGTGATCCATTTTGCTTTAATTTTATATATAATGAGAAGTTTGAAGTTCATGTTTTCCTTTATGGATATTCATTTTTCTGGCATTGTTTATTGAAAAGACCATTCTTTGTCAAAAGTCCATTGACTGCCCTAAATGGTTTGGCCCAGTGGATAGAACATTAGCCTGCAGACTGAAGGGTCCCAAGTTCGATTCTAGTCAAGGGCATGTATCTAGGTTGAGGGCACATCTTCAGTAGGGGGTATGTAGGAGGCAGCTGATGGATGTTTCTCTCTCAACTATGTTTCTAACTCTCTATCCTTCTCCCTTACTCTCTATAAAAATCAATAAAATATATATTTTTTAAAAGCCCATTGACTGTAAATGTATATATCCAGAAATAAACTCTCATTCAGTTCTGTTGATCTGTATATCCTTAGGCAAATACCACACTGTCTCATTACTGTAGTTCTAGAGTCAGTTTAAATTATCTAACTCTGTTCTTCACAATTGTTTTGGCTAACCTAGGTCTTTTCACATTTTCATATAAATCTTAACCTTATATGTTTCTGCAAAGAGCTTTCTAGAATTTTGATTGGATTACAATGAAATTATGGATCATTTTAAGGAGAGTGGTTACCTTAATAATATTGACCCTTCAATCTATGAGCTTATTACATTTCCACAATTTTTGGCTTTCTATAATTTCAGCAATTTATGTAGCTTTTAGTATACAGTTTAATGCTATTGTAAATGCTGTTTTAAATCTCATTTTCAATTATTTGTTCATAAATCAAAATATATTTGCTTTTCTTATGTTAACCCACAATCCTACTGCCTTGCTAAATTCACTTATTAGTTTTACTAGCCTTTGGGGGAGATAAATTCTTTTAAGATTTCTACATACCAAATAATGTCATCTGTGGATTCAGATAGTTTTATTCTTTTCCTTTCCTGTATGCCTGCTTTATTTCTGGTGCTGCTTTCTTGCACTAATTGGGACTTCTAGTACAATATAGGGACGAAGTGATTAGAATAGAGTCCTCAACCTATTCCTGATCTTAGGGACAAACTGTCTTTTACCATTAAGTGTGATGTTAGCATTAGAGGTATATGGCTACGGGTACCCATAAATTGTTCTTATTGAAGCTGTCAAACCAAACTTCTAGATAAAAAACATTGTAAATTGCCAGTGTTACTTCACACACTTTGTCCGTACAGTATAGTGTAACACAATGCCATAGCCTGGGCAGCTTATAAACATCAGGAACTCCTCGCTGTGGTGTCCTCACCTGGAGGAAGGTGCTAGGGAGCTCTCTGGAGCCTCTTTTATAAAGGCACAAATCCCATTCATGAGGGCCCCACCCTTCCTCGGGTCCCACATTTTAACACATCACATTGAGCATTAGGATTTCCTCCTGAGAATTTGGAGGGACACAGACATTCAGGCTGCAGCACACACCGAAGAGTAACACCTGGAGAGGCTCCCTGGGAAGGGTATTGCACTTGAGTCCTTGTGTCTGGGTTGAATGCCCACTCTGCTGCTTATCTGTCTGACTTTGGCT